ACTGGAATGGGTTACTTAGGGAGGTGGTGGAATCTCCTTCCTTAGAGGTTTTTAAGGTCAGGCTTGACAAAGCCCTGGCTGGGATGATTTAGTTGGGGATTGGTCCTGCTTTGAGCAGGGAGTTGGACTAGATGACCTCCTGAGGTCCCTTCCAACCTTGATATTCTATGGTTCTATGATTCTATGAAATGGATAGAATATCCCATAGAAACCGCCTCTAGAATCCATTTATCTATGGTTCCCAAGCAGGTAGAAATTGGGATAGGTGATCCCCGAAATGGGTGTGGAAGGCAGGTTTGCATTGCAGATCCGGAGGAGGGAAGTCCATGGCTCTCACCCAGATTGTCAAAATGGTTGTTTACAGAGAGGCCCAGGTAGAGGGGTTGCCATTGGGGGTAGTCCTTTCTTACTGTGTTTGGACCTCCTTCTGGGAGGTTCTGTAGGTCTGGAATAGTTGTGATATGGCTGGCACTGGTCCAGTCAGGTTCGTTGTGCTGTCTGTGATTTACCTCTTCGTTCCAGGTACATAAATGCCAAGTGACTTAAAGGTTGCTCTTAATTACTTGAGCAAATGGAGGGAGGTGTCAGTATCGCTACTGAACAGCCTAGGCCCTTTGAAGGGGAGGTCTTCCACCATGTTTTGTACCTTCCTAGGGAGGCCAGAAGACTGAAGTCAAGATGCTTGTTGCATGGTCTAGATGGTATTTGGTCCTGCCATGCGGGCAGGGGACTGGACTCGATGACCTCTCAAGGTCCCTTCCAGTCCTAGAATCTATGAATCTATGAATAACAACAGCGGTGGCTAAAGACCAAGAAGCTGCATCAGCAGCATTGAGGGCAGCCTGCAAAGAAGCTTTGGCAATAAGTTGGCCTTTCAAAATGAGGGCTTGGTATTGTTTCCTCTTGTCCTGTGGCATGTGATCAATAAAATGAGTAATTTTTGAATAGATGTTTCAGTCATAGAATCATAGAATATCAAGGTAGGAAGGGACCTCAGAAGGTCATCTAGTCCAATCCCCTGCTCAAAGCAGGACCAATCCCCAA